ATGGCTAGACTGCATCTCTGCACAGATGGCTGTAAATACAAGAGTAAAATCTACATTCTACATTTTGAAGAGCCCATTTAGGGAGAGAGATGGTTTTTGACCCCATTTTGCCAGTCATGAAAAAAAGGGAATAGGGGTCTAAATTCACCTTGTTCTTCTTTCATTCTTCCTGTACATAAAAGTGACAGCAACGTCATATGTTTAAATGCAGCATTCTGCAACAACTTCTATAAATGGGAGGCTGTGGGGCAGGCAAGATGGCTGTTTGGCAGCACCATCAGAAGTCCTGGCCCTTTTCTATACGCAATGTGATCACATAGGTGCACAAAAAGATATCGCTTCAAGTGTGAAGCGTGACATCCATCCTGATTTTTATTTTTTTACTTTCTGCCACCACCATCCAGGATGTTGCTAGCAGTATAGTTCTCTGCATGTAGGCCTCCACATCCTGGTCCCCTATATCTGTTATCATTGGCCATACTGGTCAGGATTGCCGAGAATTTGGCAATATCTCAAAATACCCAAGCCCTCTACCTCAGCTCTATCTCATCACCTGGATGGGTTTTTCTGCAGGACACAGAGCACCAAAGGGAAGGACAAGAAACAATGGTTGGAAACCGATCAAAGAGAGAAGCAACCTGGAATTAAGGAGAAACTTCCTGACAGTGAGGACAATCAACTAGTGGAAGAGCTTGCCCCCAGATATCGTGGGCACTCCATCACTGGAAGTTTTTAAAAAGAGACTGGACAATTATCTGACTGAGATGGTATAGGACCACCTGCTTGATCAGGGGACTGGGCTAGAAGACCTCCAAGGTCCCTTCCAGCTTCTATTCTATTCTATTCTATTCTATTCTATTCTATTCTATTCTATTCTATTCTTTGGTCCAGTGGAGAATGTCATTCAGAATCAAAACGATGTTAAGCAATTGCAGAGGAAATTTTCCTGGTTTGCAAGCTTAGCATTTGATAAGAGATTCAATCTTTGGTTATCTTGAGGATAGTGAAGTTTGTGTTATTATGCGTAGAGAAAAGAGGGAATGACCTTGAAGAACAACAAGAAGAACGTCTGCCAAGACAATGGTCAGATAAAAAGTGTCTGAACCCAGTTCAAGAAAGTAACTTGAGAAAACTTGTCAGACTGGCTGTCAGAAATCCCTTCAATGTTTATTTTCGGGGCTCTGCCATTCTAGGGGGAGGGGAAAGGTTTTTCTTCGCTGGGAGGGGGCCTTGTGGCTCTGCTTCCTCTATTTTGTTCTTCCTCAACTTTGATGTATCTCTTTGGGTGTGAAAAGGGGGAATGGAATGTGCCAGGGGCCATTTGTCTAATCTCCAGTCCGTTGGGAGATCCGGTGAAGCGCCTGGGAACCGTCCCTTATCAGCTCCGGTTCCCATAACAACTTCGCACCTGTAGATTGGTTGGACGCAAACTGGACAGTTGGACTCTGGGGTGGGTTTTCGTGAAACGAAAGTTTTAGTGTAGCAACTCACGCAGGAAAACTTTAGATCTTGCTTTGCTCTCTTGCTGTCGCTATCTCTCAATAAAAGTTCCTTTCGAAACAATGCCTGTTTCAAGAGTTCTGCTGTCTTGGGAGGAGTAGTCGAGGCAGGACCTTATATTGGCTCTCCTCTAGTTCTTATGAAAATAAAGTGAGGGAGGGGGGAAGCACATTCAGAAATGCATGATTCTGTTATAGCATTTACAATAAAAGTAGTCCTGATGTACATGGCTTTGGTTTTTAGAGTCTGATTTACTTTGATACTATATGACCTGGCCAAAACAAGATTCTAAGCCAGAGAGCTAATGACATTGGGCCCTTAAGTCGTATATGGCTCTTAGACTAATTTCAAACTTCCTGTGTAAAAAGATCAGCTCTCTCACGAAGTACTCTTCACCTGTGTTTTGGAAGAGAATGTCCAAAAGAAAGAAAGAGAGGTGTCAGGAAAATAAATACCCCAAACTCGCATTGGCTTCTTTACCTTGCTCACTGCTTATTTAAGCTTTAGCCACCATGTACAGTATTTCTTAGATTGTCTTGGCAAAATGTTTGCACACCCTCAATACTGAGAGTAGCAAAGAATCATAGAACTCTTTAAATGAAGGTGTTTTGTAAGTTACAGAACATAAACTGTAGGGCTAATATTAAAAATATACAACAAGGAACTATAGGTAGTTTTTGTTTAGTGACTGCTTGGTTTAGCATCTGTTGTAATGATGATGAAAAAGTAACTTTACAACCAAGCCTCGCCTTTATGCAGGCCTGTAAAACAAAAGAAAGATTAATTTTATCAGAAAACCGATATCCTGTTCCTTATTTATTTTTAAAAACTGTGCCAATATCCAGACATACATTACCTATAATAATTTAGAAATGTACCATGTTGCTAAATAAATTGGTGATGCAGGGACATATTAACAGAAGGCTTTAATTTGTTTTTATATAAAGAAATTTGATGTAAATGAATCCTCATTACTTCTTTCTTTGGCTGGCATCTTTTTAAAATTTCACAAGGCTAATGCTGCACAAAAAACTCTAGAGAGAAAAGTATCAAAGGACACGCAGTTCAGTTGGATAATTGGTCTGATCAGCTACGCCAGAACTGGTGTAAAAGCAGTTTATACCTTTTCAAAAAGTTGTGGAATCTTCACTCTTGACGATATTTGAAGAAGGTTGGAAGTTTTTTAAAGTTGAATGATATCACTGGTATCCTGTTTAAAGTTTGGAAAAAACAGAACATATCAACTAAATAGAAAATCACTACTCAGATACACCACTTAAATTATTCTTGAGACTACAGGGTTTTTTTCCTTGAAACTAAGGTTTTTGAAGCTGTGTTGCTGTACATATCTAGCCTTTCATCAAACAGCCTACTAAATTGTAATCTAGTTTTGGATTATCTTGAGGAGTCAACCCAGATCTTTGCATAGGGAATCAACTACTTAAGACTGGTTAATCCAAAATATCTGGATGAATTCTGGACTATGGAAACAGCTAGGTGCTGAACAAAATTGCTCTTGCGAGACCTTTCCCAATCATTCATCCTAAGCAGCTCCATGGTTCACCAAGGATCTAAGGGAGATGAAACAATCACAAAGGAATTAGTAGGATCAGGCACTAGTATAATTTGTTTGAGCCTATACAGTGATAGTCTGAGTAGCAACCTCTCAATTCTTCTCTTTATTGTATCTGCCAATCAATACTGGTGGCTCTACTCAAGGAACACTAAGAGGGATATTTTGCCCAAAAGCATGCCGGATGAATTTGCTGGTGTTTTTCTGGATAAAGTTGCTTGTAACTACTGAGGTACAATAGATTTTAGACAAAGACAGCAATGATGAGCAAGGCAGGGCCTTGAACCCCATCTATGTGTTTGACCCATACCTTTCCAAGTCACAGGTAGTACTGACAGTATTGAAGTGTGTGAGCAATTGTTTCAATGGTTCCTGGCTTACATTGAGAAAGGTATTCATTATATGGAATCCTTACAGGGCCGAAGATTGCTGGGCATTATGGTGTCCAGGATCAGAGCTCTTTGGAATTTTATGGTGGCTTCCGGAAGAGGAAATAGTGGACTGAAGACAACTCCATGAAATGTCACAAAGGTAATTTTTTTTTTGTCCACCCAAGTTTTCCATTTCAAGGTAAAGGAGACAGATTTGTAATGTCTAAAGAGCATTTTCTCTTTTCTCTCCCTGTTTAGTTTCTTTTTTCCTTCATCTGACACACTTTCCTTTTCTCTACTTCCCTTCCCAATGCAGCCTCAGCCCATCTCCAACGTGTGTTCTGGTGGAAGATGAGAGAGGAGAATGTTTGTGTACTCATAGGTTTCTAGGAGAGAGAATAATTTTTGAGTGTGAGCAAGATTACTTGGTATACAAGGGTCAATTATTTTTATAAATACATAATTGCTTTGAATCAGTAATTATTAACATTATCACCCCACAATTTGTGGAAATACGAATAGTTTTGGAAGATGTGTGTGTGTGTGTGTGTGTGTGTGTGTACTTGTCCAAATGTTGAAGTGTGTCAGTTGGACATATTTATTGGGTAGAAGAGAATCTCTCAAACTGGTTTCAGTTGGAGTTGGCAACATCTACCTTTCGGCATATCTCTTAATCCTGAAATCTTTCATGCCTACTCTAGGCAAGTTTTTATTGTCATCTTTTATTTCTTTTCCTAAAGTAAAGGTAGAGGAGGGGAGTGAACAAAAGCAACAGAAAATAATATAGGTAGTCCTCAACTTACAATCATTCATTTAATAACTGTTCGAAGTTACAATAGCACTGAAAGAAGTGAATTATGACCAGTTTTCACACTTACGACCATTGCAGCTTCCCCATTGTCACATGATCAAAATTCAGGCACTTGGCAACTGGCATGTATTTATGATGGTCCCAGAGTTATGTGATTACCATCCGTAACCTTCTCAACCAGCTTTCAACAAGCAATGCACGGAAATCCAGATTCGCTAAACAACTACACGACCCACTTAACAAATGCAATGGTTCATTTAACAACAGTGGCAAACAAGGTCATAAACTGGGGCAAAACTCACTTAACAACTGCCTTGTTTAACAATGGAAATTTTAGGCTCAATTGTGGCCGTAAGTCAAGGACTACCTGTAATGTGTTCCTAAGAGCATATACTATTATTTTATAGGTATACATAAAGATGACCTCAAAATAAGTTATTTGGAGAATATGTTTCTAAAATACAATTAAATACTTCATAGCCCATATCTGTTGAACAGATCTTAATATTTCTCCAACTATCATTGCTGATATTAACATCACACTTTTCTTTTTAGTAAAAAATACGTTTTGAATCCAAAATAAATTAACGATTACTGATGATCAGGGTTTTAAAAATGATACCAGATTAAAATTAATGATGTCAGAATGTTTATACTGATAATTACAAACCTATATTTATGAATGGGTATACAATGCACAAAGAACAGTTTAAAAAAATCCTACTAAGAGTAGTTTTGTATTTTATCAGATGAACTTGCCAGTTTATTTTGTTCTGTATCTATCACACACTTGTGAATCTATTTTGATTCTCTGAATTGGTCTACATAAGTGAAGCAAACCCAGATGCTGTTGAATATGACAGATCATCTATTTTTGTGCACCAGTCCCAGGAACAGAATCCCAGGGCCAAAGAAAACCCTCTTTTTTAAAAAAAGTCAGTTTATTAGCTCCTCCTAGGCTGCTCGTTTCATCAGAGAACTGTATTCTTCTGCCAGCTTCTTTTGTTCATTTAGTTTTTCCAGCACTGCTTCCATTAAATACGAAGCAAAAGGAAACTGGAAGGGAAACAGAGTAAGAAAAATGATCAGTAAAGCCTATATATATATTTTTTTCAGCTAAAAAACATTTACTAAGTATCTTGAAGCCATTAGATTTCACTTAGTCCTGACAATGGTACTCGTGCCCAGGACAGTGCTTCCCTAAAATGGATCCCTCTGATTAGTGTGTGTAACTGTTCGTTATCATAAAAATGATAAAAGAGCAGAATAAAATGAAAAAAGATAAACGCCTTATTGAACAATTCATGGTTTACTGACCATGTTAATGATGTAATCTGCAAGACCAGCAGCTCTGTCATTTATCTTCAATCAGCTGATCAATATGAAGTTACAGCAATCTCTAGGGCACTTATAAGTAGAGGCAGCACTACAGGCTGACTGCTCTCAGGAGGGGCAGAGACAGAGCTATCAATACAGTTCCAAGCGCTGGGGGTGTGTGTGCAAAGGGCTTTCAGAGGCATCCAGTGAAACTTGTGACTCAAGGCAGAAAATAACTTCCGAGAGCAAGGCACAATTAGAGTATTCTAATCAAAGCTCCCCCCTCCCCACTTTTTTAGTAGTGACGAAAATGGAAGAAGACATATGACAAGATCGCTCCCAAACCAGAGATAGAAATATTGTAAGGGAGGGAGGTATGTTTTTTTTTTCCAAGCCGCCACATCTCCACCCTGGCTTTATTTTATTTGAAATTCATGTTCAAGTTAGAGAAAAATACGATTCATGAAGGGTTTGTGGCAGAAGTAAAGATTTAACTATGGGACAACTGACTAATCTTCACCTCACGGATCCCTCTATGAACAGTCCGCAAACAGGTCCTCTAAATTTGTACCACGTCGGCCCAGCAATTGCTGTAATGGCAGAAAACCGACAGGCAATTTCCCAAATGGTCCCTGACCTACGTTTGTGAGAATATAAAACTGTAACCATAAGCAGACAAAAGGAGAGGAAAAAAACACATTTCTTTTCCCGCAGGTTGTGGTATGGAAATCTCAAATGTTGTGTGCAGAGGTAACAAGAAGCCGCTTAGCTTGCACATTAAGCAATAATGGAAAATCAATCAGTTGAAAAAATTGGTTGGGCTGAGAGAAATGCAAGACCTTTGGTATAACAGGAACTTAGAGTAAACAAGTAACTTGAGATATGCAAGGAGACGGGAGACTGCACAGGGCCCTTTGCTGATACTGCCATCCCAGTATCAGTTTTGCTAACAAGCTACCTTTGCTAATAAGCTAGTAAGTCCAGAAAAGGCGTCTGAATGAGAGATGTCTGACTCCTGCTGAGGGCAAATGGTAGCCATGTTGGCTTTTCCTGATTGCATCATTTGCTGTCATCTTGACAAAATCACAATGAAGCCACAAGGCACGTTGGGTCTGTATTTACACTCTGTAATGTCGTAGTGCAGTGGTTCTCAACCTGTGGGTTGGGACCCCATTTGGGGTCGATTGACCATTTCACGGGGGTCGCCAAGCAAGGCTGTCTGCCATTTTTTTTGTCCGCCATTTTTTTCCTTTTCCGGCGGGTGCCTTACCTGCCTTGGGCTGGGCCAGCTGGTGGTCGGCCTGCTCCGTCTCTGCCGCTTGCCAGTTACGCCTCGGCCGGCGCAGGGGGCGGAACCATGCATGCGCGGCGCTCCCGGGCAGGGAAAGTCCTCGACTTACGACCGGTTGGGTAGTCCTCAACGTACGACCGGTTTAGTCCTCGACTTACGACTGGTTTAGTCCTCGACTTACGACCGGTTTAGTCCTCAACTTACGACCGGTTGGGGTCGCAGCATTAAAAAGGTTGAGAACCACTGTCGTAGTGTTTTCCTGGCATTCCATATAAGAAAACAGAGATATGTAGGGAAATTTGTATTTCTGTGTTAATTTGATTTTTTTTTCCTTTGTGTTTTCTATAGCACTGCTGTAAACTTTAATATAAAAGCTGTTGAGTTGGGGGAGCGGTGTTCTGTGTCAAAATCATGCAAATATATTTCTGTTTTTTTAAAACCAACATTTAACTTCTGCTTTGTGATTCTTTTTACTTCCAGGGAGTTATTTTGTAACGACTTGCCAAATTAAAAATGTACCAGTGAAGCCCCAGAGTTGGGTTTTCCATCCTAACAAAATCAATTTGATGGAATTTAAATCTCTGTAGGTGTCTTCTGTTAAATTGGAGAAAAAAAAAGCCTTGGGTTTAGGAATGGTTTCTGATTTTGATCAACTCTATAATATTCAAGCACAGCTAACTTCAGCAGTGCAAGAAAAAAAACTATTTTTACCCTGTATAGTTTTCATATCCAAACATAAATAAAGCAGTATTATAAGGTCAGGGTTGTTGTTTTTAAAAAAAAATTCTTATTTATTTAAAACACTCTTATTTATTTACAATGCAAAATGTTCTTCTGCATTCACTCCCCATTCTCTATTCCTCCTTCAGGCTCTGTTTTCTGAAATCTCTCCAACTTGTTTTGCGCTATGTAGGTCTCCATTTATTTTGATAAATCTATTATTTTTAGTGTTTTCTCTTAGATGAATGTATTATTCCACCACTGTCTTGGGCTTGTGATCATTCTATACTTTGCTTGCTGTTCATCACCTTCTAAGGCTGCTTTGTCACTGTAAAATGATTTTTAAAGAGCCGTTTCTATCTTAATCATTCAGTGCAATCAAGGAGAACAGGCATTTGAAATGTTGCAGACATCTTATACATTTATCAGTTTCTGTTCTTATATAGTTCACTTTATAGACATACATTTTGCATGGCAACCTTCCAGTCTTCATCTTCCAGTGAAGCCTGTCACATTTTTATTAATAGTCGAGTAATATATTGCCATTTTTCTTCTTTCTTCTGAACATGGTGCCCACTGAATATCTTTGGCTGTAGTGGCTGAGGATTGTTTAAATTGGAATCCGTCTCAAGCATATCAAATTGGGAAAATCTACCCAGACAAACTAAAGTTCGTTGTTCAAATGTTCTCCTTTTCAACACTCATTGGGAGTGTTCCAAGTTGAACCAAACTTGCATTCTGCAACATGAAATCATGGGAGCTTGAACATTTTTTTGTTCTCTCTTTTTTTTTTTTGCACACTAAATGCATAAATATATGCAGGGTGATAGGCCTTTTTAACTACACCCTCTCCTTTTAAATCCTAATATAAAACAGTAGAAGCAACAATTTGATGACAAATTTTTTGTCAGCCCGGCTGTACAGATGGAAGGCCAGGAAAAAGCAATAACAGGACGATAGTTCATATTTATGTACTTGACAGCAAAACTCAACCAACCACTAAAGAAACATTCTCTTTGCACTTAGCATGCAACCTGAAAGATCAACGACAACAAAACCACGCCCAATCACAAGTCAAAGTTCAACAAACAAAAACAACAACACAATCTTCACATTTTATAATCTGAAACTCAACAGCGCTAGTAGAAACACACGGGCAACTCATGCGATAGCTATCCACCTGCAAAATAAAGCATAACAGAAAAAAGAACAATATACGCAATCCAATCCGGGAAATCCTAACTTCCTCACAACAACAATAACAATAGCAGCAACAAAAGTTAGCAGGTATACGGTGAAGCAAAAGCAATCTCCATTTGTTCTAATTTTGGGACTGGCTATTTAAAGTAACTCTGGATACAGAGGCATCCTATAAAATCTGGACTTAAGAACATCATCTGTCTTTGAGCATATTCTTAACAATTGCTACTCCCTCTCCTTATTTTCTCCACCAGCATGATTCCTATCATATTATTATTGCTCTGCAAAACAAAAACCCAGATCCAAACACATTTTTTAAAACAGCAAATCAAACACAGGACTCCAGATTCAAAAATAATGCTACTGAAACTGTTTTTTTCCCCCAGAACTCAGAGAAAACTCCCAGAACATAGGTATTTTCTTTCAAGCACAAAGCATGTTTTATATCTTTATTGGTATCATTATTGGAATCTGAATTTAAAAAAATACCATTGTTCCTTAAACTATTGAAATCTGCAGTAGGTACATTTCATCTGTTTAAATATTACGCTATCAAATGAAATATTTTAACTAAGCAATAACATTTTATCAGCTTAAATATTTGAGAGCTCTTTGTAAGCTGTAGTTCTGTGGAATGCACAATTCACATGAAACCCTAGTTTCCACGAAAGCAAATGACGTGTTAAGTGCTATATTCTGATTTGAATGTAAGCAAAAACTAATTGCATGGTGAAATGATATAAGGCTATGATTTTGAACATGCACCGAGATGTAACAATTACGCACCTATTTATACAGCTATATGTTTCAGGTTTTAAATAAATGTTAAATATTTTAAATTTTAAATAATACCCATAAAAATAAATTTGCCTGCAGGCTTACCATTAAACGACTTGCGCCATGAAACTGATGGGAAGGGGGAGGGAAAAGCTGGACAGAATCGGAAGACCAAGGGCCAGATGCCAAACCAAAGAGTTGGCTTATAAGGCAGCTGTCTGAATGAAGTGACAGTTTGACAACTATTGAGGATCAAGTGGTTATTCATTTTAAAAACTGTATTAAAGGCTGTTCAAGAAAACAATACAGGGAATTCTCATGTTAGGAAAGAAAAATATAACGAGATACACAAATAAGGGGCAGAAGAAAGGCATGCACGGTTTCAGTCTTACTTTAATAAGATGCTAAGTCAGGGAATAAAAGGAAGGGGCAAGTTTTCAATGAAGAGGATAATGCCTGGTGCAGATTTTCTTCAGAGAAGGAGGGCTGCTGGTTGTTCTGTATTTGGAAATCTGAGATCGTTCACGACAGGAACTGCAGAAGGAACTGCACTTTCCAATACTTTCTTGAAACACAGAGAAGAGGGAACAGAGCAGGAAGAAAAAGGCCTCTCTCTCTGGTTCTTGTATTTTGCTCCCCCTTGCCTTGCAGCTTGACCAGATATCAAGATATCTGACAGATTAATTTGACCGATGACAAGTTGTTTTAAGTCCATCAAAGATTAGTCTTCAGAGTTTTCCGTTTGAATTAA